TATTATTATTATTATTATTATTATTATTATTATTATTAAAGAAATAACCAGCAGCTACTTCTGCACCACTACCACCAACCTCCTCCCTTTCTGAAATCACCTTCTGTGGATTTCACCCCTTTGCCATTTTTCCAGCTCAGCAGTTTTGCCTTTAGTTTTCAGTTTTGGCATCTATTCATACCCTCCAATATTGCACAGATGAGAACTGGGACACATGTGGCCAAGCAACATCAGAGTGTGATTGAGATAGCAAATGGGGAAGAAGACACAATGGGGCAGTTGCAACAGTTTGTTCTTGGTGGAGTTTGGTAGATGAAGGGAATGCTATGGATATAAAATATCTTGATTTCAGTAAGGCCTTTGACATGGTCCCTCATGATATTCTTGCAAACAAGCTAGTAAAACATGGGCTAGACAATGCAACTGTCAGGTGGATTTGTAATTGGGTTTGGCCAGTTGACCAGCCGAACCCAAAGGGTGCTCAGCAATGGATCCTCTTCATCCTCAAGAGAAGTGACCAGTGGGGTGCCACAGGGTTCTGTCCTGGGCCCAGGGCTATTCAACATTTTTATCAATGACTTGGAGGATGGAATAGAGGGCATGCTTATCAAATTTGCAGATGACACCAAATTAGGAGGAGTGGCTAACACTCAATTGAATTTCAACTTGGAGAAATGTAAGGTACTGCACTTAGGCAAAAAATGAAATGAGATGAAATTCATAGATATAGGATGGGTGACACCTGGTTTAACAAGACTACATGTGAAAGGGATCTAGGAGTCTTAGTAGACCACTGGTTGAACATGATCCAACAGTATGATATAGCTGCTAAAAAGGCCAATGTGATTCTAGGCTGCATCAATAGAGGTACAGAATCTAGATCAAGGGAAGTAATAGTGCCACTCTATTCTGCCTTGGTCAGGCCTCACCTGGAATACTATATCCAGTTCAAGGCACCACAATTCAAAAAGGATGTTGAGAAGCTGGAACGTGTTCAAAGGAGGGTGACCAAAATGGTGAAGGGTCTGGAAACCATTTCCTATGAGGAGTAACTTAGGGAGCTGGGTATGTTTATCCTGGAGAAGAGACAGTTAAGAGGTGATATGATAGCCCTGTGTAAGTATTTGAAGGGATGCCATATTGAAGGTGGAGCAAGCTTGGTTTTCTGCTGTTCCAGAGAATAGGACCCAGAACAATCGATGCAAGCTACAGGAAAATAGATTCCACTTCAACATTAGGAGGAACTTCCTGACAGTGAG